GAACGTGCAAGTTCAAGATGCTGACACTCAAACAGCTTTTGAATGAAGTTGGCCCGCGAGATTGGTTTGCAGCCAGCAGTCTAACAGATGCTTATTTTCATGATGCTATACAAATGAACAACAGGCAGTTTTTGAGGTTTGTATTCGAGGGGGCAGCTTACAAGTACCTGGTGCTGCCATTCGGGCTCTCTCATTCTCTCTTGCAAATGAATGATCAAGAAACTGACCTCACAGCCCACTGTTTATCACTGGTGCTAGTTTCAGTCATTATGCAAATGCACTGCTTAAAAGGTTAGGGGAAACCTTTCCTATTAAAACTGGGTCGTTGCCGATCAGTTTCATAGATAGTGTTAATCAATAACATGATGTAATATTCCCACCCCAAGTGTAAACAAATGTGACCAGAAGAAGAGACGGTGGGAGTCTGGAAGACTGGCATCTCCATTAAACAGCTGTAGTCCTTTGTGAGAAGTGGGAGCTCTGGTGTTCTTTTGTTTACTTTGTCACTTTGTGTAGCCGATCATTTGAATGTGAACTTTGGCAACGATCAACCATTGTGCATATTTGCATAAAGTAACAGATGATGGAATAATCATGTCTCTATGAAAATGTTATTTTTACATTTGTAAAAAAGGTTTTCATTCAAAATCTTTATGTATCCTTCTTTCTTCACTATTCTGTGGGACGAGATTCCTAGTTCCAGAAGCACTGAAGCGTCATCTCAGCATAATACTCCCACCACCATGTTTCACTGGGAGCTTGATGTTCTTTCTCCAAACATAAGCTGAGTGTCTGTGATCAAAAAGCTCTAGTTTCATCTCATGTGGCCAAAGGTCGCGCTTCCAGTGTGCATAATGTTTCACCAGGTTGTCCTTGTTCTGTACTGTGTGGCAATCTTTGAATTTCTTGATGACACTTCTCACTCCAGTTCTTGACTCTTGGAGCAGCTTTAATAACTTTGTATATCCAGCTCGTGTTTTGTGAGCATCTACAATTCTTTTTCTCCAAAGAAAAATAGCATGACTACTAGGGCTGCCACAAACTATTATTTTGATAGTCGACTAGTCACCGATTATTTTTTCGATTAGTAGACTAATCAGATCATGCATCAGTTGGACGTAAAACATACAGCTTATTGAACCAGAATATCTGCTCTTATATAACTATCATTAGCTTACAGCTTGAAGTGTTTAAGATATGTGCTAACTAAAAATGAAGACAAGATGATAGTTTATTAAATTTTATTTAAATATATTGTTTCGGTGGAGTTTAATGAACTCAGCCATCTGCTCATTGCTATCTTAAATATAACAGGACACTGGAGTATATTCTTGAGCATCTGACACTTCTGATAATCAGTTGTCTGCTTGACGTTTATTCAGCTGTGTAAAAACTATAACTTTAATCTCAGCCTAACCGATTTATTCAGGAACAAATAAAACACTGAAAAAAGCCAAACAATAACATTTTAAGTTATCTAAGTGACTTGTATGTTTAACCTGAGTAGCGAAAGACGGAGGTGGGTTCGAAAACGATTTGCCGGGAGTCTCACCGTCTCTAGTGAGCCTTGAACCCCGGCTAGCTATCGAGCTGGTGGGTAACAGACATCTCCAAAAACGTCAGAGTGCTTTTGGAAATATGTGATGTCTTGATAAACCGAGCAGATATTTGAAGTTTACACAGCTACATTCTCACCTGAAAATATGTTAAAAGTTTACTTTTTGACCCAGAAAGAATAATAACAGAAATATTAAAACTAAGTAGCTGCCGCCATTGTAGGAAACTGAGCAGGGCCGCGCTATGAATTCTGGGATTGGTTGGGCCACGAAAGATACATCCGACCCATCCTTCAAATCTGGGGAAATGAAGGGCGGATTTGGAGGAGTCTTCGAATTTAAACAGCCTTCGTCATGTTGCTGTAACGTAATTGGCCTACAAATGCAGGCTCAGGAGTTTGCGGTTCCTGAATTTGAACACAGCCACGATACCGGACACTGCTGCTTCTTCTTCTTCGGGGTTTAACGGCAGCTGGAATCCTTGTACGTGCAGTGCTGCCATCTTCTATTTCAGTTCGTTATTACACTCTTAAATCCTGCTACTTATTTCTGCGTCTTTTGGGATCTTAAAAAGCTTCAAACGACACGTCGACTATTAAATTAGTCGTTGACAATTTTGATAGTCGACGTAATCCTGACTAGTCGACTAATCGTGGCAGCCATAATGACTACTATTAAGGCTGATTGTGATGGTAATATCCTGTGTCTGGTTCTGTTTTTGTTTTTCAGAACTAGCAAATACAGTTATGGTTACTGGGGAAAAAGACAAATGAAATTAATACCATTTGGACAGATATGACAGTTTTATTAATCTTGTTCTTGGTATCCACAGCCAGTACTATTTTTCAAGCAGGGCACGTTCATAGTAGAGTAGCACCCAGAACTGCAAGAACTAAAGTGGACTTACCATTTGGTGTTCTTCACTTCTATAGCGAGTGTTGACTGACTCATACTTGTATGGCTGTTATTTACTCTCCAAATCACACATCTTTTTTCAGATTTCTCACTGGGCTGGGCAGCATGGTTAAGGGGACTTTTCCACAGATGATGCATAAAGGAGCAGTTACTGAGTAAATGTGCAGATGTTTTTTCACTTAGAGAATCCAAACAGCAGCCCGGGGTTTTGAGGGCTAACCTGAAAACATAACAAAAGATATCTCAAGTTTTCCTCTAGCAGTACTCAGCCTCCTTGAAGTTTAAGTTCAATTAAATGTGGATTTTACATTTTTACACATATTATACATATAGGTTATATAAACCTGTTGGAGCATGCAGTTCACTTAATTCACAAAACCAAAATACAGTTTAACATCCTGTGATGGTAATATATTAATTAACTTTGTATCAAATTTGATATTTTAATACCTTTTTAAGGAATCAGATTTGCTTTGTTTGTTTAGACTTGCGATTTCCTGAAAGTGTTAGAGTTTGCAGTAATTTCACTTGCTTCATCACTTCACAGTCCTTGTGTGTATGTTCTGGTTGATTTTGCAGGTATTTGTGGAGTTTGAGAATGCTTCGCAGCGCTGTTCTTGGGTGCAGGTGTATGACGAGGGGGTGAAAGCTGTGCTGGTAGAAGACTCCATTGTTTGGGCCCGTCGTAGCGACGTTACCGACACAAGCGGAGCCTCGGCACCAGCCTGGCCTGCTCTGGTGAGTGCTCAGCTGGAAACAAGCAAAACCATTAACCACCCAAATAGTCTGGGCTCCATCTGTGAATGAGGAATAGAGTGAGCTGTACTTAGATCAGATTTATGTTTGGAATGTAAAGTGAATGGAAGTTGGATAACTCTTTCGGTCATTGAAATTCATTTGAAAATAAAGTGTGCACCTGATCCCACACTGGTGTCTCCCGACTCATCGAGAGGAGACAAAGAAAAATTAAAGCGCCATTTACATGTTGCTCACCTTCCACATCCACACTGGGAGTTATTTTAGTCATTGTTGTACGCTCTGCAGTGCACATTTGCATATAAGTATAATAATGTCCAATCTGAAGGTTACCATCACCTCGTACGCGTTTTGAACAGCTAACACTTGCAGCTGGATATTGGCAATGATAGCTTAATTTCAACAACAAAATGAGTCAATTACTATGGAGTTTGATTCAGTGCTTGATGTTTTACTTGCATAAGATCAAAGCATCCATGTTTAATGTAAATGCATAAAGCACGTTATAATTGTATTATTTGTTTCTATATTTCTTTGTGTAATCAGTGTGAGAGTGCTGTTTTCTTATTTATATGAAAATGACTCTACATCAACATTTTGGGACCAATGTATGACAAAGAATTAACAAAAAATGATCTGCACGGTTTGAGTGCAATTGCAAAACATTGTCTACATGCACATTTTAAAAAAAAACAAGAAAAATGCTTGCATGTGTTCACGCATGGATTCTTAGTACATACGTATACAACTGGCTTAATGATCACCTTGAGGGCAGACAGGAAAGTCAGCACATCATTAACTGCTTATGTTACTTATCTTCCAGATAGTAAACAGAAGTCAACCGAGGCCAGGTCAATGTGCAGTCTGTTTTACCCTTTCATAGACGTTTTGGTTTTGAATTGGCCAGATTACTTTACTTACTCGCCACTTCATTAGTTACACCTTCTGTAGTGCCTCCAGAACTGTCCCTAATATTTCATGGCATAGATTCAACAAAGTAATGGTGTCATTCCTGAAATATTCTGGTTCCTATTGGTAGTTGCTACAGATGTGTTGGTTACACATTAGAGCTGCATTAAATCATTCTTCAATAATCTTAAAAAATGGTTGATGCATTTTTTTTGGTTCAATGCTTTGGGTTAATCCAACAACTTGGTAGCGCTCAGTTCTCACCATGTAAATGCAAATGTGTCACCCACATTTGTGATTTAAAATATTTAAAAATTTTTTACTGCAGGCCAGTAAAAATATACATGGGCCTGTAAAACTCTAGGCTGCTGACATGGACACTGAATTATTGACATCAACTATTACCATTAATTATTACATCTACACCGTTAGAACGTCTGTTTTCTGCAGTAGAAAATATTGCATTTAAAAGCCCAGTTTCAGTTTTAAAAATGTGGACATGCTTGCTTTTCTTCATTGCAGTCATCATTTACAGACACACGAGCACACACACAGAAAACACATACGCCTGGACACCCACCAGATCTACTACGTCCAGGTGATGCAGTACAGTCAGAACTCTTTTTGCCTCCTATTAATGGAAGAATACATTGAAAGAAAGAGTAAAGGCTGTTTTATTCTGTGCCTCAGCTTAGGTCGTGTATATACCTTTTTTCTTTTTTAAATTACTGTTACTTTGGATTTAAGAAATATTTTTCTTTAAAATATGATTTTAATATGATATTTAAATACAACGAGAGGTTTGAATTGTTTTGGCAGACGTTGTATTCAGTTAAACTATTAAAACATTGGTTTCCATTTTAGAAATTGCAATTAGTAGTGCAGTTTGAAAGATCAGTTTCCTCTCTTTTGAATATTTATCATTGCTCATTAATATGACAAAGTAATATTCAGTTAATCAGATAATTGATCGAACACTCGATAACTAAAATAATTGATAGCTGCAGAACTAATGCATACATCTAATGCATCCGTGATGTAAATCTCCTGTTTCACCACATCCCAAAGGTGCTCTATCGGATTGAGATTTGGTGTCTGTCGAGGCCATTTCAATACAGTGAACTCATTGTCATGTTCAGGAAACCAGTTAGACGTGACTTGAGATTTTTTGACATGGTGTGTTATCCTGCTTGAAGCAGCCATCAGAAGATGGTCACACCGTGGGCATAAAAGGATACAGCTGGTCAGCAACAGTACTCAGGCAGGCTGTGGCATTTAAACGATACTCTGTTGCTATAAGATGATTAGAGTATGCCTAGAAAATATCCCCACACCATTAAACCCAACCCAATAGCCTGCAAGGCAGAAATGATCAATGTCTTCATGCTGTTTATGCCAAGTTCTGACCCTGCCGATTGATTTTCCAGCAGAAATTGAGACTCATCAGACCAGGCAACATATTTCCAATCCTTTGGTGAGCCTATGTGAATCGTAGACTCTGTTTCCTGTTCTTAGCTGACAGAAATAAGACCCAAGAGCCTTCTGATGTTGCCCATCTGCATCAAGGTTCAATGTGTTCTGCATTCAGAGATGCTCTTCTGCATATCTTGGTTCATCAAGTGGGTGTTCAAGTTACTGTTGCCGTTCTATCAAGCAGTCTACAACAGCATGGCGTTTTTACCCAAAGAACTACTGCTCACTGGCAACTTTCTTTTTCAGACCATTCTCCGTAAGTGCTAGAGATGGTCCTGTGGGTAAATCCCAGTAGATCAGCACTGTCTGAAATACCCAGCCCAGCCTGTCTGACACCAACAACCAATAACCATGCCTTATTCAGTCAGTTGAATGACCATTTTTCCTCCATTCTGATGCTCAGTTTGAACTTAAGGAGGTTGTATTAACCATGTCTGCACACCTAAATGCACAGAGGTGCTGATTATACCAAATATAGTGGCAAGTAACTGGTGGTGGACTATTAGACTGATCTACAAAATTGTATAACATACAAAAAAATGCATAAATACATAATTTTGTTACTCCTTTTGGTTGTTGAACTGAATAAACCTAATGTAAGTTCTCGCTAGAGCTGGGCGATATATCGAGTTTTTAAAACATATCGATATATTTTTATACGAGATATAAGATGTGACAATATCCTTTATATCGATATAGTCTATGTTACGTTATAATTATACTTGTGGAGCCGCAAGTTTGCCTCTCTTTCGTTCACTTTTGTCTCTACGCAACGTTACTCCGCCTCGCCTTCACTGAAGACAACTCCCCCTCCTCCCCCATCGCTTCACGTGCAGGCAGCGACAAGACGGACACGGCAAATCTCCGTTAACGAGTTACTGCGCATCGCCCCATGCGTGGGGCTGGACGGCGTCAACGTGCTAAAGAGCTAACCGCGCTAACGAGCTAACAGCGCTAACCCTAAAATCCTTTCATTCTCTCAAAAGTTGACAGCGCGCCTTATGTATGAATTCTGGTTGTGCTTGATGGCCGCGAACCGATTTTATGTGGTACACGGCGCTCAGCAATCTGTCAAAAATGTTTGAGTACGACTTTGGTAAGCTACGGAGCTGCACCGCTTGATAGATTGTCGGCGCATTACGGCTACCGAGGAGCTTCGCGGAGTGATACGTACTGTGCATCAACGTAATATTACCGTATTGTGTGTGTATAAGGACCATAAATGGCACCTGAGCATTATTTAATGAATGCTCATAATTTAATTTTGAGTAATTTTTCATGTACATCTGTGCTGTATGTTAATAAAAGTGCCTGTGTGACATCTGGGACACAGTGTCACTAAGAACTCTCTTTTTGTTCTTACTTTATGGCTTAAAAAAATATATCGAGATATATATCTTATATGGCCATCCAGCTAAAAAATATCGAGATATGAATTTTGGGTCATATCGCCCAGCCCTAGAACTTCTCGCCCTGTATTTATCTCATTACATGCTCTCGCCTTTTCCACAGACTTTCCGCTCTCTGGTGGACAGAGTTGGTTTAGGATCCTTGGTTCCTGTAGAGTACTTTGGAAACAAGAATTTTGAGTTCCTGCCCGACAACAAAACTGTCCAAAGGTTTGAGGTATACAAAAATTCTAGCGTTTGTTAAAGAAGTTTGCGAACTTGTATATCAAACAGTACCAACAACATTTTGTGATTTAGCGTCTGGTGTTTTCTATTTCATGCAATCATTAAACAGATTGACTATTTATCACTCAGGATACATGTTAATGTCACTGACATGTTTAAATGTAAAACAATTGAATTATTTTCTGTTTTCATTAAGTGCTTCTTACTTAATAATCTAGGGTGAAGTTGCATACATGTTTTGTTCTACATTTCAGCTCTACTGCGAGCGCTGCTTCAGATCAGTTTGGTTTCTGTCCTTTTGCAGGTTGATAAAGATGTTAGACACCCTCTGCTGTTGGAGCAGCCATCTCTGCAGGCTGCCATCTCCAGCTGGCGTACTGACTTTGAACTGCAGGAGATATTCAGGAAGGGTAAGTTTCAACCTTCACCAGTTTCCTTTATCTCGATTTCACATCTGGGACGTGGTACATACCAAAACAATTAAGGGTGTTTGTCACATAATTAAAATTGAAAGGAGTCCTAATCAGTGGCACTTACTTAAGTTAAGCCTATTAATTTCTGGTTATGATTTATTTGATGTTCTTAAACGTGGCGTTTGGGTGGCTTTGTAGTTTAGTGATTTACACGTTTGGTACAACAGCAACTCAGACAAGCACATTGGCACACAGCTGCTTGGGTTAATTAGCTTCCACTGACTAGCTAATCGGTGGCATGCAGTCTGTTTTCAGATGACCTCAGATCAGTTTGAACCTCGGCTGAGTAGGTACTAAAAAAGTACCAGGTACCACCACCTACTGGAAAATCCTTAAAGTTGAGTCAAGCCAATCTGACCTCAGTAGGTACTAGTGGAAATGGGCTATAACAGTGCAGACAACTATTCCTATGAAGCGATACCGTTGCTGCAATTTGTTTAGTGCAAATTATAGTGGAAGACCTAAATATTATGCCGCCCTCCTCTGTATTTTTCACATTTTACAAAGTCCTCTATTGGGCTGGTCTCTTTCACAGAGCCGATCTGGCCCTCAGGTTGGACACTGTCACCCGTATTGTTAGAGAAATGAAGGAATTTGAGTTCAGAATAAAAACCATCTGTGTTTTATTTAAAAGCAACATGTCTGTCTGGCAGATTTAAATGACATGTGAGGGATGTAGATTTAATTCTCTCAAGTCCTGTTTTCCCATTGTACCTGTCCTCAGGTTCATACACTATTCAAGGACGCAAAGTTCGTGTGTACCAGCCGGAGTTTGAAGAGTGCTGGGCCACTGGACTGGTCTCACAGCACGACCCTATCTCTCACATTATGGAGATTACCTTGGATAAGGTAATGTTTATGTTTTGCCTAAATAAATTCTACTGTTCATGGTGTAAATAAATGTTACTTAATGACTACACTTTTTTTTCTTTTTTTTGCGCTGCAGGGAGAAGAAAATCAGATGGTTGATCCTCGTGTGATACACGTCATGCTGACAGAGGAGGAGGTAGGGTTGTTTCAGTAGTCGATATCCGTCAAACTCTCCTCATGCTGTGTGCTGTATGTTTAGTTAATAAGTCATTTGAGATTTAGATTTTTAATTATTTCTGGATATTTTCTGCCTTTAGCTTGGCAAGAATGGGCGGCGAAGGAAGGACAGCGAAACAATGAAAGGAGACAGCGGACGCAGACGCAGGACTGCCTCAGAAGGTGAGGATGACTTGAACTTGAAACGGTTTAAAGGAGCAGCAGATACCGGAGCGGACGCACAAAACTGCGGCGACACCAGCAAAACTGCAGTGGACGCGATGGGGATTTGGGCTGGAGACTCTGGTGAAAGAGTCAGCAGCACAACCAAAAATGGAAGCTCTTCAGATGGAACCTTTCCTCAGGGCCGAGGTTCGCCCCCAACAATTAATTCCTCGCTCCAGATGGACCAGTCAAACGCTAGTTCTCCTCGCTATCCCGGCCACATCAAAGAAAACGGTCGCGCAGTCGCCACGCAGGGAGCAGCAGACTCGACCACCACCATTACACCCACTCCTCCTCCCCTCAAACCAGCCCCTTCCCCCTTTTCCACTGCGTCTTTTCCCTCACTAGGCCAGATGCCAGTCTTGGTTCCTGGAGCACCAGCCCCCAAGGCCTCCTCATCCCCCCAGCTCGAACGAGAGGAGGGCAACCAGGCAGCTTATTCCAAAACAGCTGCTCTTGTTTCCCCAGGACCTGTCACCATTTCTTGGTCACAAGACAGCATTCCCAGTGTTTCGCTTTCAGCTTCTGTGGGTTTTAGCTCTAAAACTTCTAACTGGGGAAGCCAGACGGAGGTAAAACCAATGATGTAACAAGTACCATTAATACTGTACATTTCCACCAAATTGCTCTTTGCAATCTGTTATCTCTATTATTTGACTTAACCGTGTTGTGTTTCTGTTCCTCAGGGATCTAAAACGGCATCAGGCTTTCGTTTGTCCCAAGCTGGACCTACTGCTCCTGTATTTGGAGATGTTACCTCGCAGACCAACGGAGCTCCTACCACTACCACAGCCTCTCAGGATGCTCCCAAGCCTTTTGGCTTCAGTTTTGGTGGAGCAAAGACTGAGGCTCAGCCTAAGCCAGACCAGAACCTGTTTTTCCAGTGCATGTCGCAGAAGTCTGTCACCAGCCTAAATCTAACTGCTGATCAGACCCAATCCAAGGACACCAATTACTTTACTGCAGTGTCTGAGAGCCTGAGTAAAGAGCCTCCAAGCCTTTTCAAGCCAGCAGCCCCCACTGAAGGGCTGAAAAAGCCTGAGCAGCCTAAAGTGCCTGAGGTCCAGCAAACGGGAAATGGTGTGTTCAACAAATCATCATCACCCTTCCAGGGCATGGGGGGCTCTCCAGGAGGACGGAGCTCTGGCTTAAATGTGGGTGGTCCAGCAGTGTCCTCTGGAGCCCAAAGTGCTTCTAAAAAGAACAGTAATAATGGAAGTTCAGTAGTTGGCTTAGGGCTGCAGTCTGGTTTTAATTCTGCAGAGAGTCACCAGAACCTTTTTCTACAGAACTCCAAGGAGTCTGCTAATCCATTTTTGGCATACGGGGAAAAATCCTCCCTCACAGCTTTCGTTGGCCTAACTGGGTCCGAGCCACAGTCCATGGGTCCTGCGCTGGACAGCAAGCCGAACCTGTTCACTATGGCAGAGCCACCTAAGGGGATTCTGTCTTCTCCTTTCCCAGCATCGTCAGCAGCTGCTTCAACCAGCACTTCCCCCTCTCCGGCACCAGCCTCATCTCAGACGTTACAAAGTGAAGGGACTGAGACAAAGGAGGTGCAAGATGTTAGCGAGATTTCATCATCCACCTCAGACTGCCCGATGTTTGGAAACGCTGCCCCTGGCGGAATGGAGGAGGTGCCCGTGCCCTTCGACCAGAGCCAGTCTCAGAAGTTTAGCTTGGAAGACAGAGGCCAGTCGTCTAAACATGACTCCGAGTCCAGCAGCAACAGTGACCTCTCAGATCTGAGTGATAATGAAGAGGGCCTGGAGAAAGGTCAAATCCCAGGAGGACCTTCTGTTTCTGCCAAGGATGGAGCCATCATGCAGAAAAATAAGGTCCAGGGGGCCGCTAAGAGCCGTCCACGTAACAAGCCTTTCAAAGGTAAGACTTGTCCACTTCTCACTTTTTAAAATGGTGATAAACAAGCTTACCAAGAGAGGTAACACTAAACTCTCTTTTCCAGTGGGTCAGTCTGTACTTAAAGATCAGAGCAAGGTGCGTCGTCTAAAGCAGTCTGGTGAGTCCTTTCTTCAAGATGGCTCCTGCATCAATGTGGCCCCTCACTTGCACAAGTGCCGCGAATGCCGCCTGGAGCGTTATCGGAAATATCGGAATACGGGCGAAGAGAGCGACGACGATGATGATCCGAATGTAGCCTGTCGTTTTTTCCACTTCAGAAGGTATGGATCACGCAGCTTTGTCTTTCTTTATAATTTTATTTATGTATTTCTTTATTTTTGAAAAAAAAAAGTGTGTTTTGACCTTAATGTTTTACTCTTTTTGCTCGTGACTAGGCTGGCTTTCACTCGTAAAGGTGTGCTGCGTGTGGAAGGTTTCTTAAGTCCCCAGCAGAGTGATTCTATGGCCATGGGACTGTGGCTACCTGTGCCCGCTGTCCATGAGGGCCTCGACCTCGACACATCCAAGTACATCCTGGCCAATGTGGGAGATCAGTTTTGTCAGTTGGTGATGTCTGAGAAGGAGGCCATGATGATGGTGGAGCCTCACCGTAAGTATAAAGACATCTCTCCAAGCTCATGTTTTCGCATTAGAGTTTTGTTTGCCACGAGTCTAAACCGCTTATTTTTTGATTATCCTGCAGAGAAAGTGGCCTGGAAACGTGCCGTGCGAGGCGTCAGAGAAATGTGCGATGTGTGTGAGACCACCCTGTTCAACATCCACTGGGTCTGTCGTAAATGTGGGTTTGGAGTGTGTCTGGACTGCTACCGGCTTCGCAGGAACAGGCCAAGGGAGGGTGAGTCACTGCAGTGATATTAGAGTAACTTTAGGGCTGTTTAGTGTGTCTTATTTTATTCCTTATTTAGCTTATTGTGTTGGAAATACATGGTTGACTTTATTCTGTCCTTCAGATGTAGACGAAACTCCGGAGGATGAAGTTTTCTCTTGGTTGAAGTGTGCCAAAGGCCAACCTCACGAGCCACAAAACCTCATGCCTACACAAATTATACCTGGAACAGGTAACATGTACATTATGATCAACTGCCCCATCACAGGAACATTAAATGTTACCTGTGATCAAATATTGCTACAGTAAAAAGGTGTGATGATCGTACTGTCCTTCTCTTCCAGCTCTTTACAATATAGGAGACATGGTGCACTCAGCAAGAGGCAAGTGGGGTATTAAAGCCAACTGTCCCTGTGCCAATCGACACACTAAGCCTCTAGTGCGCCCTACTGCCCCAAATGGGATTTCACAGGTACAGTTTTACAACTTTACGAGCTTTCTTTTCTCATGTCTACACTTTGAAAGCTCCTAAACTGACGACTCTGCTATCTTGTTATGTGTGTCTCAGCAGTCCACACCGGGCAGTGGGGGTGTCCTTGCAGGTGCAACCTCTGGTACTGGCATCACTCCAAAATCAGAGGGAGAAACATCAGCAATCAAAACAGAAACCACACAGACACCAGTATCGTCAGACAGTGGGGGTGGAGAAAGTGTGGGCAGTACCAGTACCTCCACCAGTGGTACGTCCTCCCCCTGTAACCTCACACAGTCCTCTGTCAAGGAGTCGCGCTCATCAGGAGAAGGCAACAGCTCTGCTCTGCACTGGCTGGCAGACTTGGCCACACAGAAAGCCAAGGATGACACAAAGGGTACGTAAGAAGTGGGTTACAAGTGTTGAGTGTGTAAAATCTTAGTGCATGAAAAAGATTACATCAACTTAGGATCTGAATAACGTCGCTCCTTCCTCCCATCTTTCTCCAGAATCCGGTTCGCTTCGCTCCATAATGAGTCGAGACAGTCGACCTCCCTTCGGCCTGGACTCCCTCAGTGCTCTGTCAAAGCCTTCTGCTTCTAGCCCTAAGCTATTTAACAGCCTTTTACTGGGCTCCAGCATGGCCCAGTCTAAACCTGAGGGATCCAGTCTCCGGGACCTGCTCAACTCCGGACCAGGAAAACTGCCCCAAGGCCCTGGAGAGAGTGGGGTACCATTCCCCTCTGTTTTTACCTCAGCAGGCGTAAGTAAAATGTTTTCATTTTTCCATATGATGATATAGTGTTGATCAATTTTTTTCAAACGTATGTATCAACACAAAAACTTCAGCTAAGTTTCTGAACTTGAAATTATACTTTAAGTCCATTTAAATATGGAAATTTAGATGCTGAAAACAGGAATACAATTTGTTGTATTTTAGCAAGCAACAGATTTCTGCAGTGCACAAGTTGTGGAGTAAATCATTAAAAAATTACCACCATCTACTGATTCTTTGGAAATTTTAGTGTATAAACTACTGAAACTGTACTCCTTCAACAATAGTATCGGCTAGCTACGAATAAAACTACATAGCTGGGTAACCCAAAATCTTTACGTGACCTGACAGAGCGACAAGCTGAAGAGCAGCCTTCCAAACTTCCTGGATCACATCATCGCCTCAGTTGTGGAGACCAAGAAGGCCGAGGGCCGTCGCACCGGGGCCTCTGAAGGCGGAGAACTCGGAGCGTTAGGGTCTCGCAAAGACGGCGTAATGGGCCTTAGCGTTTTGGAGCCACATACCTCACACTCCTGGCTCTGCGATGGCCGACTCCTTTGCCTACAGGATCCCAGCAACAGCAACAACTGGAAGATCTTCAGAGAGTGCTGGAAGCAGGGACAGGTAAGAATTATGATTAGCATAACTTCATCTTTCATCCAATTCTTTGATTTTTGTGTTAAAATTATGCAGAGATGGATGTTACTGAGCTATGGGTTGAAATTTTATTGCATTGATTGATGTAACTCACCCATTACTGTCTGATTACCTCTGCTTTGTGGCCAGCCTGTGTTGGTGTCAGGGATACATAAACGTCTGAAGACTGAGTTGTGGCGGCCTGATGCTTTCAGCGAGGAGTTTGGAGACCAGGACGTAGACCTGGTCAATTGTAGAAATTGTGCTATTATCTCTGATGTAAAGGTGCGAGAGTTCTGGGATGGCTTTGAGGTTATTTCCAGTGAGTATCCAAACTCTCTTTTTCCTCAATTATTTTATTTGTTACTTGGATCCATGAGATCACCAATTATTGTATCTAGCATGTTTTTCTCTGATGCTGGACAGATGTCACTAAATGTGTTCTTTATGAATGCAGAGCGACTGCAAGATGCCGATGGCCTGCCCATGGTGTTAAAATTAAAGGACTGGCCTCCAGGTGAAGACTTCAGGGACATGATGCCCACACGGTGAGGAACACAAAAACATTTACAGAGAAAGCGTCTCAGTGATGTTCTGCGGTTGTTCGCTCATACACATAGAGGACATAGAGGAGCTAACTGATTTTATCTCTTCTTTGTATTTTCATGCTTTGCAGCTGTAAATTCTGCCTGTTTGTATTTATGTAAGGTCTGTTATTGATGGGAATGCCTCTTGTACCTTTCTTAGGTTTGATGATTTAATGGACAACCTCCCTTTGCCCGAGTACACAAAAAGAGACGGTCGTCTAAATCTCGCTTCGCGCCTCCCTAACTTTTTTGTGCGTCCTGACCTTGGACCAAAGATGTACAACGCTTATGGTAAGAACAACGTCTGATGGAATTATTTCGTCTTTCGCTCCTTATGTGCGATATAATTTATTCATCTCGCATCACTCGTTTCCCTCTATTTTAACCTGCAGGCTTAATATCGACTGAAGACCGGAAGGTGGGAACCACTAACCTCCACCTGGATGTGTCTGATGCGGTCAACGTCATGGTCTATGTTGGCATCCCTCACGGAGAAGACAACCAGGAGGAAGGTTGGTAGACTTAAACACACTTTGTCTCCTTTTTTTCCGGTCTTGCTTTCTGTCTTCAACAAACTCATTGAAGATCAGGATTGTTTAATTTAACCGATTTCCAATAAAATGAACCAAATAGGAGCTAAAAATTTTACCTCTGCGGTCTCTCCGTAAATGGAAGAGAGTCACATTGGTGCTCCGACGCTGTTGCCTCTGCTGCTCATTTGATTTAAGAAGGGACAGTGTACATTAGCTGGTATGACTCCATCATGTAAATAACCCCGAACATCCAGATTTAGCACTACAGGTCAGATATCTGGAGTCTCTGTCAGATTTATGGCTTAAAAGTAAACGTGCAAAACCATATAAGCAAAGAGAAACTTAATCAGCTATAGTAATAAGTGGGAATAAGCTTTAAATGTCAGGGTTTTGTTTTATTTTCTAGGCTTGTGACAGTGAGATTTACACGTATATCTGTTCCTGATAGTAAAAATGTGTTACTGTAATATATGAATGTTTTTGAAATCCATCCTGACTTCCAAAAACACAAATTTTTGTAATGTGAGAGTATTTCTGTAACAATATTACACACCTTGCACACTAAAGCCATATTATCCTGTGAAGCATTAAGTGGAGTACAAGTTAAAACGAACTTTCTTCTTGAAACACTTCATCACTCATTCCTCACTTTATCGCTCTTGAACAACCTTGTCAGTTTTTCCACAACCTCATCCTAAACATTATAGCTACACTGTTTTAGTTGTCTTGGCTTGGAGTCTGATAAGACCCTTCAGTGGGTCTTGCTCATTTACATTGTGGCAAAATTTCTCATTCACAGAGGCAGAAATCTCTGGACGCAAAGGTCTGTAGACTTTCAGTTGTATAAATTGAGTAGCATGCCCTTCTTCTTGACTAACTCCCCTTCTTCACTCCTCCACTCCATCCTTCTGTTATCTGTGCAGTAGGGGCCAGAGCACTGGGAACCGTCTGCTAGTTTCTGCTGCTGCATTTTTGTACGCTTTTTTCCAGATTTCTGTGTAAATACACGCTTTATTAAACTAAGTAACCACATATGGCATTAAAATTTTCCGCATTGCTGCTCTCTGGAGATCCGTGTTTTTTGTTTTATTTTCCTTTTGTGTATTTTCAGTGTTGGGTTAGATAAATGTGACACATTTGGTTGGAGATTTGGTAGTTTTGGGTGCACTGTGCTCTGGTCCTTACCCCGTGGGAGAAAAGTTTGAATGAAGGGCATCTAGATTTGGCATTACCTGTTCCCCTCTGCAGGCTTCTTTTCACTCATCTGAGTGACTCTCATGCTCCTGCACACACGCAATTAGGGATAAGTAGGAAATGTAGGAAACTACATTTTCCTGTAGTGTGCTTATCTAATATTCTTAATTAGTTGATGAGGTTTTAAATTTATAGCAAAGACATAAGTGAGTAGTAGAGGGAAGAGATTTGTTATGCATTATTGAGCAAAGTTAGCAAAAAAGAACATTAGGAATAGAACCGCCACATCCAGCTGGTGATTTATCTTTCAAAAGTTAATTATGCTGAAATTACTACTTTCTTTTTAAGTTGTATATATTTTTCACCCTTTCCACTTCCTGGTGGTGACCCAGGAAGTGGAAAGGGTGCAGTCAGGAAAGCCACTCTGTGCAGGATAAAACTGGATGGGTTATTGTGCTTTAATTTCCCAGCTCTTTCAATGTTCAGTGGAAAAGTTTAGGAAAAATCAGCCGGATGTTTCTTTTCATTTTGAAGAATTAAACCACCTAAAACTTTTATTAGGATTTATTTTATTGCACTGTGATTGCAGTCCAAAGAATATTACTCTAATGAGCACATCATTATTAGTAAGTCGGTTTAAGACAAATCCTTAGTATCCTTCCTTTTATACATAAAGACCCCAACAACATAAACATAAAAGAACTGTTGTAGCCTAGGAGCTGAACTTATAGCTGTAAAGAAGTTATTTATGATGGACTAGAGAAAAAAACTGCAGTCGTACACAGGCACGTTTATTACAGCTGAATGCAAACACGTTTAGATTTCAATGAGAAACTTTGACCACAGCCAGGTTTTTGGTGAGGGAAAGATGAAAGTCCACTGACGCGACGGATTTTATTACACGCGTTTGTTTCGAATCGTGTTAATGAATCAAAGGTCTGTCAGTATTATGGCGAGAGTCCAGTGGACTCTTATTAAGGCAGTAGTCTTAGCTGCTGTGTAAGTCAGCAGTAGGCTGTGAATGTTTATGTGTCATAAATGTGATTGTGTAGTCTGCAGCTTGTCCTGTCCTGTGCCCCAGTAGTTCTCAGCTGGTCTGACCATAGGATCTACAGTTTCAGTAGCGACATATTTCCAAAAAAAGTAGTTAGTAGTTAGGAAATATACAATGCTTTCATGCACTAAAAACATAGTTTATTAAATATAATAATAATAATAAAGATTTGGATCTCAATAATATGAATGCTTAAGCCGCATTTATATTAATTACCGTATTTTCTCAAGTGAAAACCTTTATTCAGCTAAAAGGAGCACCTCCAATAATGCCTGGGGGACGTGATCAGCATGAAGAAATTAGCCTGTCTGGGTTCTCTTGTATTATTGTATGCCTTTAAAATCAAAGTGTTTTTGTGCACTGCAACACTAAAGGCCTTTTAATTTGAAAATACAATAATGCACTAACTTTAAAAAAGTATTCCTACTGAGACAAGACCAAAAATATCTTTTTAAAAAAACAAACAAGACATTAGAAAGTAAACCTGCCTCTTGATACAGACCTGCTTCAGCAGTTGAGGTACATAAAAGTCATGGTCAGTATTTGAGGAAATACGGTGGTCACAGTTCATTGAAAACCCATGAGCACACAGGCCTGCTGCTTGGCATGCTTGTGTCATGGAAGATGCAGATTCTGAGCTTTTAGTGCACTTCAGAATAAAACTCTTACAGCATTGATGTCCTCTTAGGTCATTTGTCACCAGTTGAGAACTACATCCCTGCACCGTTTCTGCCAAGAAAAAGTCTGTGATGGATGTATATGAATGAAATTGTTCTATTTAAAGAAAAAATATGTAGATTTAGCACTTCCAATCACTGTCCCAGCACTTAGCTTAGTCATTCATGGAAATGGAATCGAGTAAAACACAGTAGTGTTTAAAGTGCTGTGGAAAAATTTAACAATCACAGTGCAAAAGCTAATTTAAAAAGGCCACTAAAAGTCAAATAAACTAACTTCTCTTACAGCTGTTATAGAGACAGTGCTGATTACAGCTGTTGTTTGTTTATGTTTGGTCTCCAGAGGTCTTGACCACCATTGAGGAAGGCGATGTGGATGAAATGACGAAGAGGAGGGTGCACGAGGGAAAGGAGAAGCCTGGAGCTCTCTGGCACATCTATGCTGCCAAGGACGCAGAGAAAATCAGGGAGCTGCTTCGCAAGGTCAGCAAGCCGGCAGATCTGTTTCAGGCTGGCTTGTCGCTAGCTGTAGCCGTAACATTTTGTAACCATAAACTGTGAGGACAGGATTGTCATTGGATAAATAAAACTGGGGTAGAACGATAGCTTGATTTCTGCAGAAGATGATTAAAGTTCACAAACAAAAATTAGCCAGCTGGGGAACTTTAACTTAAAAGCTCATTCTTTCTAAGCAATGGCTTGTCCTGACCTTTCGCAGGTGGGAGAAGAACAAGGTCAAGAGAACCCGCCAGATCACGACCCGATTCATGACCAGAGCTGGTACCTGGACCAGGTGCTCCGCCGCAGGCTCTACGAAGAATATGGCGTCCAGGGTTGGGCCATTGTACAGTTCTTAGGAGATGCTGTATTTATCCCTGCTGGAGCTCCCCACCAGGTCAGACTGTTTTTATATGAAAAGTGGAGCTGTACACATACCCTGTGATTCAACAGACCTGCCTGTTTTTTGTGATTTTTCTCACACCTCCATGAACACATTTGTCCTTTCTGCACACTCAGGTGCACAACCTGTACAGCTGTATCAAGGTGGCGGAGGACTTTGTGTCTCCCGAGCATGTGAGGCACTGTTTCAGGCTGACCCAGGAGTTCAGACACCTGTCCACTACTCACACAAACCATGAAGATAAACTCCAGGTGGGTGTGTTTTTCCTCTCAGTGTGTAGTTTTATGTCTTATTTGGATGGTTTATACTAGAGGACGATGTTTGCTTGTGTCGCTTGAAGCTGTAGGCTATAGTTTACTTAACTCTGTGTTCACAGTTTTATGATCTTTTTATTGGAACAAAGAGTTTATTAGTTGCTGACAGTTATTTAAAAACTATAAAATTAAGATTGGTTACCAGTATGTCATCTATAAACTGGGGCTGAAGCCTGAGAAGCATTATAAAGTGTTAAAAATTGAAGGGTTTAAAGAAACAGGCACAATTTATATTGTTCACCTTTCATACACTCTTGTGTCTGTTTTGTTAACCCTTGTGTATATATATACACACTCAGCGGACACTTCATTAGTTACACCTGGCTGGTAATGGGGTTGTCTTTAGATTAGTTTTAATTTTTCATGGCATAGATTCAACAAGGTGCTGGAAACATTCCTCAGATTTTCATTCACATTGACATGACAGCATCACACAGTTTCTACATCCATGACGGGAATCTTCTGTTCTACCACATCAGGTGCTCTATTGGATTGGGATCTGTTAACTGTGGAGGTTGTTTGAGTGCAGTGAACTCTTGGTCATGTTTGAAAAACCTGTTTGAGATGATTAGTGCTTTGTGAGATTGCTTCAGTGTTGCTCAGCTAGTACTGAGTGGCTTAAAGTTGGATGGATCCATGTTTTCATGCTCTTTGAAATTCCGACTTTTTCAGACCCGTTCCCTGTAAGCTCAGGAGATTGTTGTGTGGGAAAATCCCAGCAGATAAATGGTTAAAGTCACCTAAATCACCTTTCTTGCCCATTCAGATACTCAGTTTGACCATGTCTACACACGTAGCTCCACTGAATTACTGCCATGTAATTGGCTGATTGGATATTTGCATTAACCAGCAGCTGAACAGGTGTAACAAAGTGATCAGTGAGTGTATACACTGTTACAAAGGTGGATGTTTATATTAGAGGCCATTCTTCACTATAACGCAGCAGCATGTTTATAGAGTTCTCACTGGGAAAAGCTGATTGTTCTGTCTCTGTTTTATAGTCAAACACAGCACAGCATGTGTTTACATATAACAATGCTATGTTTTTGTTAAATAAAAGGAAAAGCACGATGATACTCTTCAAAGTAAGATAATAAAAGAACTTTTTTTTTTCTCACAGCAGCATTGAAAAGTTATCATTTCTTATCGGTGTGAGGTGTTTTGTGTCTGGTGTTGTCTCACCACTGTTTTGTTGTATTTTTTACCCTCAGGTGAAGAACATCATCTATCACGCAGTGAAGGACGCCATTGGGACGCTGAAGGCCCACGAATCCAAACTAACGCGCCCTTACTCGTCTCCTCAAACCGCTGGCCTCTGAAGACCACTCCACTACATGCACACAGCGCATACATTTCATACCTACATAAACAAGTACCAGCTGCACAGCGCAGAGTACAGAGATAGTGTAGGTTGTTTTGGGGGCAGTGAAGGTTTGTGTGGGAAGACTGTACATTTGATTAGATGGGGAGGGATGAATCAGCGCTTCGATGAAGGAAGTCCTTTATCGCTGTTACACAGTACGCTCAAACTTGTCTAGTTGTTTTCCTTTTTTTTTTTTTCTGATTTTGGTTAACTCTGTATTTAAGGTCAGTGTGTTTGTTCTGTTTTCATTGTACATGTAAGACGTGAGAGTAAGGGAGGTAAAAGCTGACGTGCCTTTGAAGCAGAGGTTCAGCTACAATATAAGCAACTGACAAAAATGTGAGTACTGGGCTAACTTTCCTATTTTGATGACATTGATATTATCTTTCTTCAATAGGAGCGAGGTTAACCTGTTTTTTGTAGATTTTTTTTTTTTCTGTTTAAGTTTTTAAACAGCTGATTGTTTCTGCCCTCTGTGGCTGAAATGAATTTGTGAAAACAGCCAGTCAAGGGAAGCAGACCAAAGTTTTGTATTTTTAGTTTTCTTATTTCACTTTTAGAGTAAGAAGTCTTTTTTTTTTAAATTTTTTTTTTATACACCACAAGGTAATAATTGGTTGGGTGGGGCTTCAAAGGAGGGCAGTTTTTTTTCACTTGTCTTTGTCATGTGGGCTGAATGAACTGCAGACTTCCAACATGGTTCAAGAATCACAATTGCAGCTGAACAGAACTACTGGCCATTAACATTGTATCAATATATATATTGATCTAGCAGTCTGTTTGATTTTTCACAATAAAATTTACAAAAACTGCTGCTTCTCTGATCTTTTTTTTTTTTTTTTAACCCATAAAGCCTCTACCCATGCACCGCTAAGATGTAGATGGTATTAAAATACAAGTTTGCTGGTATCTGATTGCCTGTTTGGTCAAACATCCCAAAACAGAGATGCAGTTCACAGTTATGTTGTGCTCTGCAAAAGTCTTGAGTCACCCATTTCTTTATAATTTGCTGGGAAAATGTAAATTGGGTGCAGTGATACTAAGTATTGTTCAGGAATACTTCCCCAGGCTTCTTAAACAACATTCAGGGATACCTTTTGTTTCGTTCTGTCATGATGATCCCACACTGCTTCAATAATGTTGAGGTTTGGGGCTCTGGGGAGGCCAATCCATGACTGATAGTTCTATTGTGTCTTTACTACATTGGCAGTATGTTTGCATTGGCTGAAGTGCAGTCCCAAACCAGTCCTTGTTTGACTTGGAAGATGCAACATTGGTAGATCCCTTGGAAATGTTTCATATGTTAGTGTTAAGTGTCTTAATTGAAAACAACACAAACATTCCTCTGACAATGGTCGGGTACAAGGACTGGATTGAAAATCGCTAAAGAAGCAGCCACTTTCAAAAGAAAAACTTTGAAAGACCCACGGGAAGTCTGGTTCCTTAGAGACAAAATATAAAGTAATCAATGGGACTCCACAGGCTACTTTTTGATAAGTTGACCACTTCACTCAGTTTTCTGCTTAACTGAGTAACTTATCAAATGTTTAAACTCAGTATCTTGTGGGACTGTGTTTAGTGTGTTTACATCTTTAAGTCTTCAGAGAAATGTTGAATCCCTCTCTTATGAGCCTAAATCATTTATCCACAGATCGGTCTCATGGACATAATAAAAAATAATGATCATAAAAAGGAGACCAGCACTGTGTGGGTTTTCACTAGGATAAACCTGGTATGACTGTGCTAGGCTTTGGTCCTTGTCAGTGAGCAGACTGTGATTGCACAGCAAAATTATGAAAGAAAAGGATGAAATCAGTTCTTTAGTAGTTTAATAATGTAGATGACTAAGGTTGTATTGTGCGCCACTGCTGGTTAACTAGGAGGAGCACCATGGGCCACATTTTGAAGCTAAAACTACAGATTTATCAGAGTGACTCTGGCCCTTTAAGAGCCAGTCTTGTTCATCAGCGGTGGTGTTGGTGGTGATAGAGAGCAGAGCAGTCTGGAGCTACACACTGCAGAGCACATCTCCAGCTGCTGTTAGCCTACCTGACGGCACAGCAGCCTTCTGGCTCTCATCACAGCTCGTCCTGGAGGGGAATGGGGGCCACCTAGCCCGCTTACTAGCCGACTAGATTTCCTAGAAGCTGGGGGGAAAGCCTCGAAGGCTGGCGGTCCAGCAAGATGGTATCCTGGATTATCTCGAGGATAGTTGTGTGAGTATGGGCAGGGTTGAATCTGTTTTTTTTATTCTTAAACACCATAACGGCTCCTTTCATCAGCTGTGTGATGCTGAACGCCGACTAGCTAGGCTGTCCGTTTCCTGTCCTTTTTATACATACACTTCACGTGTAGGGGAAAAATAAATACATTAGATATCCTGGCATTCAGACAGGGGCGTTTAAAGCTCCTGTGTTCAATAACCACAGCCGTTTCTTTAATCAGCACAATGATGCAGCACAATCTGCATCCAGCGCTTGCTAGCCGCTCGTAGCTAACGCGGGCTGGCTAGTCAGTAACTGTAACCACCTGACAGATAATGTGTTGGCAGGGAAAGTGCAGCCTGTTTAACATGCCAGCCTCGCTGCACACAAGTAAACAGACTCCGAGCTGCCAGCCACTGCTTTTTACTTTTAAATAGCCCTCTGTGAATGTAACTAGGCGCCGTACCAACACGAGTTGGTAAAATGTGGTGCAAGGCTAAAGAAGCCCAACAGCCCAGCCAGGGATGTGTGTCCATCCATTCATATGCCACTAGCAGTGGGGCTTAATAAGACGGACAAGCGGTATCAGCAGATCACTTCTAGGCCTCCACCTGAACACGCCACATCCACACTGTGTGGATGACTCAACTAAAGCCAGCTGTCATTATCTTGATCCATTATGCAGACACTTCACAGTGCTGCACCGGTGCTGTCCCATCTCTAGTGAAATGTCCAGATACTGTGTGCTCATCAACTGCTAACCTTAAAGTCGAACATCATGATGCCTTTGGAAGGCCCAGGTGTAGAAATGATGCTTCATCCCTATAAATGTTCTGCTTTTCCTTGATTACATAAGCAAACTGTTACTGTTATTGGCTTCCAGCTGCCTGCATCTTCCACTTCACTACACCTCAGGTAGTCATGTGTCTACTGAAGGCAAACAATGTGACTTGAATATGCATCATAATGCCCGCTGATTATCCAGCACACAAGATTAGTCATTTCTTGTCTTTGTGCTTTAAATGTGCATCTGGCCCAGTTTTTAAAGGGTGGCCAGCCTGTTTCTTTTCTCCTGTTTTTACAGCTAGTTTATTAGTCTAACCTAAAGAAGTGAACACTAAAATATTTCCTAGACTGAACAAGAGGACAGAGTGACCGTAAGGTCAGTAGTGGGCTTTCAATGAGGACACAAAGAGGCACAGGGCGTCTGCTCTGGGAGCCCGCTGGCTCGGAGGCCTGCTACGAGTCATGTCGGCTCACTGTACGGAGCAGCACACATCACTGAGCAGCGTAGTCGAACACTGGGACAGAAGACCTACTTAAGGAAGGGGGGAAAAAAAATAGATGCTAGGCTACCTCTGTAATTGGCATTCAACCTTTATTTACATTAAGGGTTTAAACCCAGCTATTGGTTTGCACTGTAGGCAAACTTGCATGGCCCTTCTGATCTGAGCTCTCCCTGCAGTCGCCTCACTCAGCGTTCAGTATCCTGTCAAATCAGCACATATCAGCACAGTGGCAGAGGATGCGATCAAATGCACATCAAAAACAAGGCTGTGTTTGCACAATGTCCCAGTGTGCACGTGTTCTAACACATGGTGACCCACCCCTGGTGGAAACTGTGTGTTTTTTCCATTTTAGCTCACTGCAGTCTTCCTGACTCCATTACATTGTTTCTACTCATTATCAGGCCACTTTGTTTTGACAAGTCACTGCCCAGCACTTCTTTCGTGGCATCACCATGCGGATTAAAACCACATGCACTTGAGCTCTGCTCAAGTGCATGTCGTCCTTTTGTGTTTCATAGAAGCTCAGAGCAGATGTGGCTGCTGTGTGGGAGTGCGTTTGTGAGGTGTCAGAGTCAACACCCAGAGGCCATGTTCTCTAGCTGAAGCTGAAGCCCCTTCCTCTGACCCAGTCTTGTCTGCTTTTTTTGCAGCCTTGCCTTTGGGACGCTCTACCCGGCGTACTCCTCGTATAAGGCCGTCAAAACGAAGAATGTGAAGGAATATGTGAGTATAACCCCTGGTTACTAAACTTCAGCAAACCATTTTTGAGCTCTGTCTGCTCTGTTTGACCTTTAGGGTGTTTTGCCCTGAGCGCCTGCCAGCTATTTCTCCTCTAATGTGTTGAGAATCAACATGAGGCAGAGAAATGCTCTGTTTCATCAGAGCAAGCTTATTAATTACTTGGAGTAATTTCTGTTGTCATGTTTTCTGCAATGCCCGTTCCGTTTCTTTGGCCGTTATCATTTGAAGACTAACAAAAATAGGAATCATGCTTATGATCGGGGTGTTCCAGACAAGGCTAGAGGCATGGGATTGCAGTTTAACTAGGACACACCAGCCTTCATAAAAGAAGGGCGTTTATGCACCATAAAAACACTAAAAGACGGAACAAATCCTGCACTTTGGATTCTTCCTGATTCTTTTTCCGTTCTGCGTAGATCTTTATGAAGTTCTGATTTATAAACCTGAAGCATTTATTGTGACAGGACCTTAAAATGTGGGACTTAGTTCAGGGTATTTTAACGCTACCCTTGCTAACATTATATGAATTTACATGCAGCTCCTGATAATTGCAGGGTCATGTGGTGCACTGTATTGTGAGAGCCTATCGGGATGAATTGGACTGAGCACTAGACAAGTAGCTGGTTGTTAAAGACAATAAAAGGTTGTCTGTAAAGGTTAAAGCAAATCCTATAATTCGTGTTAGGATGATTAGATGATGTCCCAAAGAGCTTCTTTGGCTATCTGCAATGTTTGGCTTCCTCATTTTTCAAGTGCTTTCAAGTTGAGATCTGGTGACTGTGGTTGAAAGTCCGTGACAGTCGACACTCTTCAGTCTTCTTTTTGGTCTAGTCGTAATTCTTGCAAAGAGATGTGGTTGGGTGATTTATTCAGCTGCTGTAGGAGTCTTTCTAAAAAAAAGAGCACCAACTGAAGGGTTTAGCATGTTAAGCACAGAGTGCACTTGGGTAAAGTTGATGCAGT